GACGGCGTGCTGGAAGAGCAGGCCGAACAGGGGCTCGAGGACCGGCCGCCAGGGCGCCTTCACGCGCTCCGCCGCGGGCCAAAGCGCGTAGATGGCCGCCGGCGACAGCGCGAAGCCCGGGTCCCCGCCCGCCTGCTGCCGCGCGATGCACGCCAGCACCAGCGAGGCGTAGGCCTGGGGCACCACGCTGGCCACCAGCAGGTCGTTCCACACGGCCGCCGGGTCCCGCCACTGGTCCAGCTCGCGCCACTTGATGCTCCGGCGGTTGTCGGTGAGGCCGAAGAAGCCGCTGACGTGCACTGGCAGCCCCGTGCGGCTGTCCTCCCCGGGGGGCAGCGGCAGGAAGCAGAAGGCTTTGCCCGCGAAGCCAGCGCCCGCGCCCGCATCCGCGGCGTCCCCCACCGGGCCGGCCAGGGGCACTGCGATGGCGACGAGCGGGAGGAACTTCAGCTCGTCTGCCAGCGCGTCCAGCTGCCCGCAGACGCCCCGGCCGCCCACGCCGCTGCACAGCAGCCACGAGCTCTCGCGCGCCGCCTGGGTGGCCCCGTCCTCCAGCGCGATGTGCAGCGGGTAGGTGGCGCAGGTGATGCTGTCGCTGGGGACTCGGTGGCAGTAGTCGCGGACGGCGGCGCCCAGGACCCGGAGGGCATCGGGCCGCTCGCGCGCCGGGCTCTGGGGCTCGCTGGCCGTCACGCGGAACAGCAGCCGCTCGGTGCCGTCGGCCTGGCGCACGTGCAGCGACACGGCCTGCACGCTCTGCAGGAAGAGCAGCACCGTGTCGGCGTCGGCGCGGAACGACTCGAACAGCTCCAGCACCTTCTGCTTGTCGTACAGGTTGCCGCTCAGCTGGGACGGCTGCCGGCGCAGCGGGAAGCGGAAGAAGGTCCCAGGGAAGTGGCCTTCGCTGAACGTCTCCTCGGTGGTGCCAAAGATGCCCAGGAAGGGCGCGAACTGGTCGGAAAGCCGGCCGATCTCCTCGCGGTCCTCCCTGAGGTTCCAGCACTGGCCGGACTCGTGCGGGCCAAAGAGCGTCTGGTGGGGGTCCAGCATCCCGATCTGGCTACCGCTGAAGATGCAGGGGACATCTG